AAAACTTCTATTACTGGAATGAGTATTAATCCATTTAAAATGAGGTATGACATGATCACTTATTTCATTCAAAAATGAGAAGGCGGTAGTTGTCAGTTCAAAGGGTTTGAAGAAGTAGGTATCTATTCGCTCCGTGCGCGACAGCAGCGCCAATTTGTTTTGGTATTAAAGGAGTATTTCTGCCTATACTGACAAATACAATTTTTAATAGAATTCGTAAATAAAAAGTATATATGTTAGTTTTAATAAAAGTATATGGATTTATAAAACAATTAAAACATTAATTTATTATTATTATATATTTTTCACGCTTAAATTGAAGAAAATTATGTATAATCATTAAAAATCAATAATAAAATATAGGCAGGCAACAGTATTTACTGGAAAATGTATGAGAAGTTGCCTAAGTCTAATAAGTTGTCATTGAAGAAACCATTTATAATAGCGTGAAGTTAAAATGTATAAAAAGGATCGCTACTTATATTTTCATATTTGTTCTAAAGAAAACATAGAATGAATTATTAAAACTGGTTTCCGATCAGTAAGTCACAAAATTGCATACCAGCCAAATATTATAATCAACGGCAGAAATCTTGAAATCTAGTCCTTGCTGAATGAACATTTAAGAATAAAGGGATATTAAAGAACATCGTAAAATGATAATTTATTGTTTATTTAAAAACTTTCTAGTTTCTGATGTCTACTATTTCCAGCATTACTGTTATTATCACAAAAATAAAGGTAATTTTTCTTCTTATTGTACACCTATCCATTTATTTCTTTGATTTAATTTCCACTTTGTTAGTGAAATTTGTTATATAAGTTTCACTGTTTTTTTTGCTAGTATTTGTACAATTTTCAACACAGCAACTCCGGTTGCTTATTGTGTTGTTTTTACCTACTTTTTTGAAAAAAAGTAAAATGTATACGTGTATTTGATATGCTAAAATTACAAAATATCCCCCTAAAATGCACGAATTATCCGCAGCTAGCGCTAGTATCGCTTTTGCTTCCCTTTCCATGACTTCGCACGGAGCGAATACAATTAATTGAATTGAAATACTGGCAATCAATAATAAAAATGTACGTTACAGGATTTTCTTTAAAAATTAATTATTAATGAGACAGAAAATTAATATATCCCTTTGTCCTCACTGTATATTGGTAGGCAACAGAAATAAGTACATTCATTTTAACCGTCCAAAATAGTTATTTTTGTAGTAAGGCCATAAAGTTGATCTTTGAAGAATGAAATGCATCATCTGTTGTTTCTTTTATCTAAGGTTAAAAATATATTAATAAAAGCAGTTTTATACCGAAATGAACATTTGGCGATTCCGACTCTGCGCGCTGTCGTAATTTTACGGTTGTATGTAGTTATTACACTACATCGTTTATTGCAATAGTTCCTATAAAAATAATCCTGTTTTTATTAAAAGAGCAAACGCCATCGCACGTCCATTATACCACCACTACTATTACTACTAGTATTGTTTGTGAAACGACATTTTATCGTTTGGAAATTGTTCGAACATAAAATACCGATTCGAAAAAGTCATCGACGATAAATTATTGACATTGTTTTATTTGTTGTTTATTTATAAAGCAAGATTTTATTGTTTAACGAGCGATTTTATTACTAGAACGACCATTCCGCAAAACGGAATGTAAATGTATAATTTTGCATTTTTTTTTTATTATGAATCATATCATACCATTATGGGTTGAGTAGCGCCTCAGTGACACTGATCTAGGCCGCATAGAAACCACTGATGCTAAACTGAGGTGATGTAACTTGAACTTGGCCTTTTTTTAAGAATGACGTCGTCGATTAAAATTTGCTATGCATGGAATGCAAGTCCCAAATTGGAAATAAATTAACAACAATTTTAACCTTTACCCAATGTAGTCTATAACCTTAGTAATCCTCTTATTCTTGAAGAACGTAGGTACTTTTCAGTTGGTTTCTTTACTAAATATGTGTCCGGGAAAATGTGGGAGGTCTCTCGCATTCAGAACATTAAAAAATAAGATGACAAGTTCCCATATTTTTTTTTTTCTAGCGGCCCTCCCTACGGAGATACGGCCTCCAAAAGGACGCCACTGGAAATTATTTTTCTTGAATAACTTTCAAACTACGTAACACAATTTAATGAAAATTTATTATGATAAACAGTAGTAAGAACCTCTTAAAAAAACTGCCCTTCAAATATAATTAGCTTGTTTACATTTTTAACCCCCTATATGATAAGGAGTTAAAGAAAATAAATGTTCATACCTAGAACATTGAGCTAAAGAAATTAAATAAAATTAACCGTTTTCGAGAAAAAAAAAATGCATTTTGTGCAAAAAACTGGATAATGTGAGTGCTTAAGTATCTTTCATAAATAAGTAAGATTATATGAAGTATTGCATTGTTCAGTGGTGTAGATTTAAAGATTTTTGCCGTAATATCACTTTTGTTTTACTATTATTTATTGCTTTTGATATTTCAACGTTATTAATTTCGCAAAAATTTGAAACACTTTAGTCTGGACTTTAGTAGTAAAATAAATATGCTTATGCTTGCTTTTTAGATTCCCAACTGATAGACATACAAAAACTATTTGTAGGACCTGATGAAAATGATTATTTAAAAATTAGTTTTTTGTCTTAATAACCTAAAATAATTGAGTATATGGTCCATTCTTGTTGCACAAATGCCAAAAAAATGGAACTAAACCATACAGGAAGTTACAGAAAATTTCCCGATATACTTTAAAATCAAACTACCTATGTAGATATTTTAAAACGTCATCTCTGATTTCCAATTCTAACATTCCTATTAATTTTTCATCTCAACTGTGGATCCGGCTGGGTAATATTATCGTGAGTCATAAATCGCATTTAGAATTCGGTTGACGAGGCGGACACTGGTCGTGAAATATATAGTGTACAGTGGTGACCAATGTTGCTGCATGGTGAGAATTGCAGTGGGAACTTAGCAACAAAACGATTGTTGAGAATGATGATTGTAACGATTATTTTATTACGGGCTTGCATCTTTTACCCGGCCTTTAATAGAGCTCGTTAATGTTTGACACTGTGCAATCATTTAGATATTTTTTATTATATACTGAGTGTGTTAAACGCTGTCTTAATTGAAGACATAAGAAGACATAACATTTTTTTAAATGGTGTTTTTTTTTGTGAATGAAGAATGCCTTATGTACCTAAAATTCGTTTAAAATGTCTTCAGTTACAATATATCATCAAATATAGAAGTTGCCAGTGGATAAAGGATCCATGTACTAGATAATAACTGCCAAACAATAAACTTTAACATCAAATATCTTGTAAAAATTATTTTGTTACATAGGCCCACCCACCCTTCATTCACTTGTGTCTTCAATTGTGATAATTAATGAATTTTGTTAAAAGTGCAGATTTGACGGGATACAACAAAAAATATTTTTTTTAATGGGATACCCTGTATATTAAGAAATGAAGTAATGTAGAATTTCGTTATTTGCACATTATAATATTAAGAAATTCCCAAACCAGGCGCGGATACAAGGGGGGGTAATAGGGTAATTACTCCCCCCCCCCCCCGAGCTGTTCCAACAAATCCAGGAATTTAATAAATTGTAATCTAAAAACAACGAGATTTTACAAGAAAGCAAAAAAAGACAAAATGACTGTGACGAATGAAGAATAGAGAAGCACAGGCTGGCGTACAGTATTTTTTGTTATTTTTTAAATAAACGAATGATTATTTGATAAAATTATCTACCCCTCCCCAAAAATCTTTCCAGATCCGCGCCTGCCCCAAACAAACTATAAACGTACAAGTATTTCGGGAGTGGTTCATCGCTCGGATTTTTGAGAACGGCCCAAATGTGAACAATCGAATTGGGACTAAAATGTTATATTCATAATAGTGTTTTTGAATATTTACACATTCTGTTTACCTCAAAAATAAATCTGAACCTTACTTATTCAATTACTCCAAAAGCTCACCTGAAACAAAAAATATATAAATATAATTTCATGTGGTAAAATATGTTTTATATAAAAATTGAGGCGAAAAAGAAGAAAATTTGCGATTATCAGTGTCATTGGCAATTTGTTTTTATATTCTATCAGCTATGGCTTGTAGTTTAGTGGGGGGCTGAGTGAAAACTAATATTTTGGAGATTCTAAAACCGAAGTTAATCCAAAATTAGACCGTGCAGAAGGGCACTATTTTCACGAATATAATTTTATTACAAATTTTTTAATAATATTAAACAGATCTTCGGAATGGATCTTTTTTACCATTCCAGTAAATTGACTCGTTGTATCGCATCCTGTTAAAAGTATAGAAAGCAGGTAGGTTAGGTTAAGGGCTATTTTATGAACTGCCACGTTATCAGTAAACATCAATTTTTAAAATGTTACTTTGTTATCTTATTATCTGGCTAACAAATACAAAAAAGCGCCTTCTTTTTTAGTCCAATATTTGTAGAATATAGAAATATCTATACGGAATTTTTCAGGTTTTTGATTTTATACAAAACACCGTCTACTGAAAAGAGAAAATAAAATTCGATATTATGTTTCGCAAACAAATAATGATTATGATGACTTAATTATTTGTTTATCAACATTATCGCCGAATATGTACCGCACGGTCGTTGCTAACGGAGTGTCACGGTTGGACATGAAATTTCACGGATTTTACTCAGTAAAGGTCGTGGGAACTGTGAAAATGTTCAACGTGTTGTGCTGTTTCACTGTTTGTTGCTCTATTCTGTATAAGTATTCCTGAACCTATGTTTTTTTTATTAATAAGGGTCATTGGTTATGTAACTACATCGTTGGCAATGATGTGGAACTGTTTCTATTCGGATTATTATACAATAATTATGAGACTTACTGCTTACTCAAAATGTACGATGATGACAATTTAATTAATTTTCATCGACATAAATTAAAACTATAAGAAAATAGGGGGTTCTTCGTATATTTATATTTCTTACATTACTAATATCGTTCATTAAAAACCGTTGATTGCTTTCTTACAAACATTTTTGCCCATTCTATTTTAATAAAGTTTCCTTTCATCAAGTATTCAAGGTTAAATTTTGGTTCTTTGTTAACTGAAAATTAAATGTTTGCTCCAAACACACTTACGTAATTTTTACGTTGTAGTTATTATAATTTTGTATTTCTTAATGAATGTAGACGGAAAAATACTTGGTTTATTACTCCGGTATAATTAAGACCCAATTTTATTTTAATTGCCTTAGATTTTATTATAGCGATAGAAGGTTTTTTAGTGTAATTTAAGCGTACGTGTCGCAATTAAATTAAATAGCGAATGGATTTATTTTATCAATTAATTTTTTAAGCTATTAAGATTCATGATATAAAAAATGAAAGTTCTATTGTTCGGTAGGTGTAAACTAAAGCTATCGTCACATTTGCGATTAATGCTGCGTTAGCTTCTTTCGTCTATATAAGAACAAAGTGTCATTCATCTGTAGTGAATATACAATAGCTCACACCATATGTTTTAAAAAGTGCCTATATTAATAATCATAATTTATATGAATTATATTACGTAGACTGCACGGCCATTCTGATTTTCTTTCGTACTCGAAAAGTGTGCATTATTTTCATACTTTGTTACCTTCTAAAAAAAAATCATGATGATCTGTTGGAATGTTTGAGCAAGCTTAACAATTCCTCCTATTATTTATAAAAGTTGGTATGTGTTTAGATATACTCATTCAAGCTCGCCTAAGTTCCTGAGGGCTCACCTATATGTAGATACAATTATGCCATACTTTAATTTATTAGTACATTTGATTCAAAATTCTTTCAAAAATAATAACAATGACAGTCCAGGTAGACTATGAAGTGTAATTTATAGTCACTATGAGGTGGATGGATATCTTGTGATATTACAAGAACTATTACACAAAATTAGTCTCCTACAATGGACTTTTTTCGCACAAAACAAACTCCAAGTACCCAGCCGCTGCCATCGAGATGAACGTGACCGATAAAAAAAATGGCGCTCGCTGTTAGTAATGGAATTGGCACGCATGGGTAAAAGGTCGTGCGGAAGTTCCAGCTCTTATTACTGGTTATTAAAAGAATAATTAACATTTACGATTCGTGTTGTTGGTACGGGTTACGGTACGGTAAGGTGGTACCGGTAATGGCACTGTTTTTTATTTCAAACCTTCTATAATTTGTAAACATTAGTTACAAAAATTTGAGCAAGCATAACATTAAAGAAATTATTTAACGTTTAATGATAAAGGTAAACATTATGTTACCTGATGAAGATATATTACATAAGAAGAGTGAATGGTAGTGAAAAGAATGAATGAAATCAACAGACCGCTACAATTGGGCCATCACCGCGACTATCCTTATTACATATCCAACCATAACAAACGATAAATTGAAAATACCTGTAACTATATAATCATGGCCTACAATACCATGTTGCAGCATGCAGAGGTGTACTTGAAATATGGTAACAAAACACATTTTTTACATATTATAGTTTTTATTAAAATATTGGCTATATTGAACTAGTTTTTCATGTTTATAAAAATTATAAACGTTTATAAATGTTTAGTCCGGGACTATAATTTTGTAGGTAGACTCAGTTTCACGAGAGAAGAACCCAGCTAAAATTGCAGCAAAGACAGTCGCAGAAACCAAATTATGTCTTGTTTACCTACGTCGCTTAATAACGACAGGGTCACGCCACTGGCGTAGAACGAACATTTTTATGCCAATAGCCATTTATTTATTACAGGAAATAAAACTTCTTTATGGAGACTGCTAAAAAGTATGGGGTTTAGGTAAGTAGTTTTTGAAGATGAAGTAAGATTTTTAGAAGAAACAAAAATTATATAGGTCTAGAACAGACATTGTGACATATTAAAATGCATAAGTATTTAATTAAAAATAATGTCTTAATTAATTGTAGATGGTAGCGCACACAAGACAACAGAAAGATGATTATGGAATCATATGATATACGTCTCAAAAGAATTACTTTTTAGAAAATGTTATTAAATATAGAAATGAAGGTTGGAATATTATATATACTGATGAAACATATATCCACAGCTCACATGTGCAATTTGAGGGATGGTATGATTATCAGAAAAAGGTTTGAAGAAGCCAATTACAAAAAGAAAGAGACTTGTGATTGTACATGCAGGTGGAGAAAAAGGATTTATTCCTAATGCCTTATTAATATTTCAAATCTGAGCACTGATTAAGAACTGGATGACAGGACACAATACCACATTTAAACTGGATGATGTGGAGAAATTAGCCAGAAAAATATCTACAGGGGTATTAAATGTATCGCAAAAATAAGTTTTTTTCTTATAACTTTACCACCCTGTAGTTCAAAATCTAAGAGGCGTAGGACATATGTTTATAGGGAACTTCTTTGCTTCATTTCGTCCAAGGGACACGCCTCTGAATTTTTTCGCAATAATAAAAAAACACCCTGTATATAGGACTTGAAGTAATAGGCTATTGATTATGTCCTAAGCAGTCAATATCTCAGCTAAGTCCATTTTTATCCAAAAAAACGTTTATAACCCAAAATTTTAAAGGAAATTTATTCTACTTTTTTTTGTATGAATCATGCCTGCACAAGACTCACAATATAGCAAGAAAATAGGAAATAAAAAGACTACGGAAAAGCTGTGGATCGGTAGATTACAAAAAAATGAAGGAACAGAAAAGTTGTATCTAGAAATGATAAAAAATTAGCGAGAAGCTGGATGAAATGGGATCTCTGAAGTGAAAACTATATTAGATTGTCAAATTTTCCCAGTTTTTGTGCATTAAAAAGTGTCAGCAAAAATCATTCATTATATTGGATGACAATATAATAAAAATCGATATAATTTTAATTCACTGTCTCGCATTGTAGCGAAATCGGCCGAGAACTTCCCTTTTGTAAGAAAATTTCTGCCGGTTTCAGCAGTGAATAACAAACTTTTTTATATAAGAAATAATCGCCTTTATTGAGTGATGTTTTATAGGGACATAAAGCACGGAAAGTTGTAAAAAGTTTTACTGAATTTTCTATGTTTTGGAACGAAAATTACATTGAGTTTCTCGTGTTCTTTGTTTCCATTTATCTTTTTAAAGCTGTGTCTGTAAATTATCATTTGATATAGTAGATATTTCATCACATTTAAGAGATATTTTCCTATTTCCTTTTATTTTTGGGAAAGGAAACCCAAAATCAATAGTATTTTATTGAGAAAATTTAGAAATTGGGAAACAAATTCAAGCACAAACAAAAGAAAGTAAGGAGGAGAAATTAGTAAACGTGTAAAAAAATAAAACCGAGAAAAAAACTAGAAGAAGAGAGAAACATAAATAATAATCGATACATTAAAAAATGTAATTGGGAGACAAACATCAAGAAAAAACAACTAATAGAAAGAAAGAAGCAAAATTGAGATGGATAAGAACTGGAAAACAAAAAGAACACGTTAACTATTAAAAAATAAGGATGGAACAAAAAGAATGAGAGATAAAATAAATGGATCGGCATTAGAAATAATACAGTTATATCGACAAAAAAGAAAAGAAGAAAAAATGATAAAAAAGGCAAAAAAATATACAGTAATATAATTAAGAACAAATGGAAAGGTTATGTGACAAACATAATGACAATGAAAGAAGCAGAATTTGAAGAAAATACGGAAGATATTACAAAGAAGACAGACCCTTTAGAAGAACTCGAGGAAATAATAAGAAATTTAAAAAATGGTAAGGCAACAGGAATAGATCAGATGCGCAATGAAATAATAAAATATGGTGACTAAAAGAAATAAAAATAAGAAACTAAAAACTATAATATTTGGGAACAATGATAAACAATAAAAACGACAAGAATATGGAAATAATTTGGCCTACATGGATTCTTCATTTTATTTCCATATTCTTGACGTTTTTATATTTTATCATTGTACCCAAATATTCTGTTTTCCTATTTTTATTTCTTTTTGCCACCATTTTTTAACTTTCCTATTATTTCCTCGAGTTCTTCTAATGGGTCTGTCATCTTTTTAATATTTTCTTCAAATTCTTCTTCTTCCATTGTCATTATATTTGTCATATAATCTTTCCATTTGTTCTTAATTATATTAACTGTATTTATTTTTCCTTTTTTCATTTTTTCTCCTTTTCTCTCCTTATTTTTTAATATTTGTTTTCCAGTTCTTATCCATCTCAATTTTGCTTCCATCTTTCTTTCTTTCTATTTGTTGTTTTTTTATGTTTGTCTTCCAATTACCATTTTTTAGTGTTTCGATTATTATATCTTTAATTGTGTTTCTACATGGATTCTTCATTTTATTATAAATATATAACTCTCAAGGATGGGACCCTTAACTAAACAACTATATTTTTAGTTTTTTTTTTGTACAATAAACTTTTTGAAATAAACGTGAAAATAAAAAAAAACAGTGTCGCCAACTACATAACTAACTGTGTGACACGCCCTCTTAAATTATTAAACATGGCAGATAAGACGTTGTTTTTATCAAATAATCTTGCTCTGCCCTATCTGAATCTTTTAAGCCGCATAGTGAAAAGTAATCAAGAAAAATTAAAAAATTGTTCATTTACTGTAAACCATGACCGTCAACAAATCAAAACTAGGACATATCAAAACGCATTACAACCATATTATACTGAAACGCAGTCTGCGACATGTAGAATCGAGTCGTCGCAAAACGATTCATAGGAGCGAATCACGTGAAAAGAGTGAAAGTCAAGTGCGCCAGTATCTATCTATCTCAGTTTCTTTTTAACAACTGCTCTTTTCTCCATCTCTTTCGTTTTCGCTCCTTCGTCCATACACGTACTCTCGCTGGTTAGGGGAAACCAAATTCACTTTCGTTTATACCTATTTATTAACCTTACCGTTGTTTCGTTTCAATTGAAACAAGTTTGGAAGTTTCCAAATAAATTCGGTTTAAATCTGGAATGAATC